ATATACATTAATGTGATATTATTTAATGTAACGCAATAATATTTAGCGTAGAATTATACTTCATAAATTATTATTTTTTGATAAGTGAATTTTTTGAAACTGATGTTTGATGAAAATGATAAATGCTTCTATTCGCTGAAATATAATGAAAACCAATATAATTCAATAATCTTCGAGCTGAACATTCCTCGAAGTAATCGTAATTTTATCGTTATCGTTACCTATATTATAAAATTAATTTAAATTATGTATTACACAATACAAAACAAAAGCATCGTGCAATCGTGTTTTATAAATATATAATAATATTGACATCATCACTATTGCGATTATGTATCAAATATAATTTATATGTCAACTCAATCAACTAACTCAAATCAAACAGATTTTAAAAAATTCATTCATCATCTGCGAATTTATATCTCGCTGCGTAGATTAATACCGCAAGTCAAAGTTGTTTACAAAACAAATCTCCGAAAATCCTTCGTTCGTTAATCTCTTTCTATTCCTCTCCGAGGTAAACGTCAGTAATCCTTCATCTTCCGAAATACGATCAACCCTGTGCTCTTTTCATCTGAGAGAACTTGTTTTTCCGCTGTTTACAAGAGTTCGTGAACCTTGTATCGATTCTACTATTCATAGAAACGACGAGGAACGGTCAACGGACTGTCGTCTGTTTCGATTGATTACGTAGACCGTGAGTTAACAACAGATCTATAACTGACTTTCTTCTTTTACAACTTTTATGTAAAGTGTAAATTGAACGAGCGCATCAACGAACGTACGTTTGAAGGGCAGCATCGCTGTCAAATCAATGCTCTTAAAAATAGCGTAGGACGCGCAGATGCGAGATGTCATCTCTTGAAAATCTGAATTCATACTACAAATTCCTTAATAATTTAATTCGTCAATATTAATTAAAGTTCTGAAGAATTTTATTCTACTCGATAAATTTAGATGAAACGTTATATTCTGAAAAATAGCGCATATATCGAGTATATGTTATCTCTTGTTATTTATTATTCCAAAGTGTTTTGCGGATATGCACTTAGCATATTTTAAATGAAAAGAATTCAATCTCGCGTGTTAGTATAAAAATGCTACAGATGCAGACAAAGATACAGATCAATTAAAAGATTATTAAAGTTATTAAAATCATTAATTATAGATTGGGCATTGCTTATCTTTTATTTTTATAAATTTTTAATCTCTGTAAGGCAAACGTTGCGACGTAAACGGCAAATGTTATGTAATAATATATAATACGTATACACGTATACAATTATTTTAATGAACCATTGTAAATTGTATATTAGTTAAAAAGATAAAAAGAAAGGAAAAGAACTTTAATTCTAGTGACTTTGCCCGAGTGTGAAATATATAGAGTGTGAGAAATTTCTTAGAGGAGAAGAGACACAAAAATGTAAATTGTAGGTAGTACAATACCTACAATTACCTTCACTGTCAGAAGAGTATTCAGTTATCATAATATTAATTTCTAATTAATTTCTAATAAATTCATTGACTTTACATTGATATTACAAATACATGTATGTAACATTTATTTTATATAGATTGTAGTAATTACTTTGATCGTATTCTTATTATTATTTATTACTTATTATTGCAGTTACTTTTCTCAGCGTTTTACTTTAAAAAAATATAAAAAGTACAACGTACTTTTCGAAACTCTTTAAAAAATTCTGCGATTCTGCTTTGAATTTTTTTCAACAATTTTTGTTAGAAAATATAAAAGTGAAAAGTGATGTGTGCATGAATATAATATTAATATTCAAAATAAAGTGTACTGTGTTATCGCAACATTTATCATTCTCCAAATCAAATGAGATATATCGACGAAAAAAAGTAAGCTGGACATACTATTCGAAAGTTTAATTGCTCGGAAAGTATAGAGACTAATATATATATATATATATATATATATATATATATTTTTCGATCGATAAATGTTACGACCGAAGGGAATCAATAAATTGGAGCACTGCCCCCGAGGTTGGCTGTGATACAACCCTTTCCTTCTTATGGGAGGGTAAATTTAGCATCAAAATATTTTCAATCGGACTATATGATGTATGAAATACATCGCGCGATCTCATAACACACACGTATACACACATACGCATACATAATTTACTATAATTTACGACTTTAGAAGTTTTAAAGGAAGTAATGTATTAATTAGTTTACGATAATATGACATAAATCTCTATTGATATAAATCAACTAAGCTATAGTATATATTATATTAAACATTTTATTTTAAATCATCACACTGACTGCCATCGATTGCCAAAATATTTTAAGAATTGTCATATAAATTAAAGTTGTAATTGTATTCTTCGCGCACGCTTGTACTTAATAATTGATATTACTTCTTCGAGAAATGTAAATTCATTCTTCTATCTTTCATTCTTTTATCCTGTATTATCACAAGACAAATATAACTTATCAGTAGACCTATGACTCGTACCGTATGACTATGATTAAAACGCCAGTATCAAAAGATTCAGATATACGAAGTACGAGTCATTTTACGTTATACGTTATACGTAATTATTCTTGCGTGAAACTTTATCATTTTATGTTACTTTGAAGCATAATAATTATCATTATCAAGCACAGCACAGGACGTACTATTATTACGTGAAAGGATATGTGAGTGATTTATTATTGTGCACGCACAGATATAAGATATGTGTTGCGCGTCATGTGTATAATGACAGAGAGGGTAATTGGCAATAATAATATCAAAACGAATCGATTAAGAATTATTAAGAATTATGCACGAAATACATAATTCGAGATATGATATAAGTAACAATTAACAATTATCAATAATAATTACTAAGATTTTTAATATCTTTTAGTTAATTAATATTATAAAATATTATAAAATTAATGCATAATAATTATTAATTTAAATTTTTTCATAAATTATTATTATTTGCTATTATTTGTTTGCACTATATCTATATAAAATTTGACAGTTAATAATCTAAAATTGTAAGACCTAAGACGCCTTGAAGAGGCGTATTATCTTAAATTCTCGATTTTGAACTTTATGCTGTCTGGGTAAATACTGGCAAAGAGAAATCTATCGATAATACATTTAAGATTTTTCTAAGATTTAATTTATTCCCATTCTAGCAAATATATTAATGCGAAGAAGATACAAGATTGAAAAAGGTTTCTAAAACATGTACGTCAATTACATAATCACATTTTCTTTTTATTTTCCAATTATGAAAAAGTTATTAATTTTATTAACATATTATAATTCTGCAAAAAATATTAAATTACCTAAAATTTCATTCAATTTTCAAACAGATTACTAATTTTTTAAATTAACATTGTACATTATTATATTATGAATCGCAATTTACGTTTATACTTGCATACTTAATAATATACAGTTACATTCAATATTACACACTTATACTGCAGAGGCATTAATTGTAATGCGATTGTAATCCGATTTGAAACATAAAAATTTGATTTCTATTATTCAGCGATTCAATTGCAATAGTTACATAAAAATGTAATCAATTTCATATTTATTAATTAATATTGTTTCTCTATTTAACTATATAAATCATACTTTTGTTATAATCTAATTGGATTATATTTTTGTCTCGATACAACGTATCAATGTATATATTGAAATTTAATAAAAACTAAAGACTTTAATTTTTTAAACGGTCTTTTTTTTTATTAACTTGTCGGACAATTTTTAATTTTGTATTCTATATAGGTCTCATTTTTTTATAATAACGTAATTACGTAATAATGAAACTTTGTTCACTGATTTTGATTGATTTGCGCGAAATTATGTTTTTAAGATCTCCCAGAAGAAGATCATTATCTATAAATCATCATATTTTTTGATTGATTTATTAATTTAATATAAAATGGATAACCGTAATAAAACCGCCTCAACATTCTTTTTTTTTTTATGTTACATTAATATGCATTTTCTCTTACTTTTCTCTTACTTTTACTTATATGCAAGTGAATGTCCGTATAAGGCATGAGTTTATAAAATTTTCAAAATAAATGGCATAGACAGAAGAATACATATCAAGAATTATTAAACTTTAAAAGTTTTCACGTTAAAAATGATTAAAAAATGAACCGAAACGTCCGAGTTTTTATATATAATAACATAATTAATGTGTGTTAGAATAATATCATCTTATTGATACAAAAATTAAATTCGTACCCTAATAACCGTGCCTGCCTCTCATTTGTCTCTTTTCCGTCTGTTTATTTTAGAAATTTAACTGTCATCACAAAATCATCATGGAATCATCAGAAAATTTATAAGCTCACGAATTTTATCTCATATGTATGTTTGTGATAACGTGATAAAAATTAATATTTATCATAGTGTCCATGACTTTTGATCCACGCTTGGGAAATACAGAAAAATATTATCTGTATTTATTATTGTGTTATTATTAAGAATGTTTTGTATGCGTATCGAAATTATTGGAAACTTACAATTAGATCACAATTAGAAAATCAATAATGCGAGAGACAAGATCTGAGCATTGATATTAAAAAAAAGAACGATTTTTTGCTCGACAGTAATTATCGTCAAATGAAATATCTGATAAATCCACGTGGAATAAATGAGAATTTTTTTTTCGCTTGCGTATGCGATGATTTGAATATTATTTGCATAATAATTTGCATTATAATTTTAATTTTTCGAATTAAAACATTTATACTGTTAATTATAAAACAAATTCCAACAAATTAATGTAAAAATAACACTTGATTATCTGCTTATTTCAAATTTGTTTGAGAAAAGTCAAGTATCAATACAGTGTGTCTTAATGTAAAAACATGTTATTGACTAAACTGTTGTTAGAGATAAATGTAATTGAAGATTAAAAGATCAAAAAGATCACACCGGTAGACGCTTTTGACGCGTTTTTATGCAAATATATATATAAGCCATTATACATGCAGGTGATAATAACTTATTTTTCAGATTATAAAAGCACATTCTTACATCCCCTGAATTGTGTCTCTTTTGAAAACAATTGTATCACATAATAATCCTAGATATTAATTTACTTTTAAATATAAAGCGGCGATATAAAGACATCATAATATAACACATGTTGCGTATATACCAATGCTCTCTGCTCTTGTTGCAATACAAAAATTTATTATCTTAAAATATGATTGACATATCGATTATCATATCGACCATAAATATATAAATTTGTAAATGAAATCATAAAAATGCTTTTTTTCTTATTGAGCATTAATAAATTAAGTTTCGTTATAAGCTATAAAAACAGCGAATAATAATAACCTATGGCACAGGTGAAACAAAATTAATGGCAAAAAAATTTTTTAAATAATTCTGTAAAAAAGTTGACTCTTTAAAATTATAATAATATTAAAATAAAAAATATTTAAATATTATAAGATTCTATTAAAGATCATTAATTTTAGCAGATGTAGTTTTAGCCTTTAGATTTAGTATGCCTTCTAAATAGTAGTATATGGTCAAGAGATTAAAACATCACAAGGCACTTTACATAAAGCCAGACGAAGAATAAAACATTCTTCTCACGAAAAGTCCTCGCGTTGAAAGGAACTTTTTTACCTTACCCACCTTTATGTAAAACTTAATTTGTGTATATCGACTTTTCTGGTTACTTATTAAAGAAAATCTCAAAGCGACTTACGTATCGTATCGTAGATTGCCTTTAAAACGTGTATCTAACATGTACATATTACGCTAATGCTAATTAATTAAATCTTAATCTTTTCTTTCTTATATTGTCTTACATTTTTTTTAATATATTAATTTAGATTTATTATATTTATTACAGTATTATTATATTCGAAGAACAGTTTATTAATAATTATTCGTATTTGTATTTGTATTTGTTAATATTTAAACTAAAGAATTACTAATTCGAGTCATGTTAAATAATTATAAATTCAATTAAAATGTCTTATACGCACGTTATAAAACGTTTTAATTAAAGTTAAAGTTATTATCTGAATATGGCAAAATAGATATCTCGACTTTAATTACTCAATTACTCAATTAAATCGTTCATCGAGATTATATCAGAGATTATAAATGTAACGTACTCGACGAACGGAATAAATGTATAAAATATGCATATCTTATAGAGCAATTCCAAAGATTTTGTTGTCATAAATGTAACGTACTCGACGTGAATTTATGCTTAACTAGATACCGATGAAACTAGATGCGGAACTAGATGTTGAAAGCGAGAAAATAGATTTCAATTTCGGATCATTGTTCAGTTAGTTCGGACGCATCAAAACAAGACAGACAAAAATGAGACGGAGCAGAAACTTTTCCAAATACATGTTGATTAGCTCTAAAACTAAAATTATAGAGAACCGCGCATATTCGGCGTCTCGCAGTTTTTATACGAAGAAAGGATGCAATGAATGTGGTGAAAAAGTGCTCGGCAAAAGTGCACGTTAAGATTTCCGAAAAACTATAAACTATTTCGCGAAGATCTCTCCAATTGTATTACAAGCATAATTACAACTCGATATGGAAAAGTCTACGAGGAACTAATTAGATTTAGATGAAGAATAGTAATTTCTCATTATTTGTTCATATTCGACCGACAAAACCATATTTTACGTGCAAACGAATTTGCACGTAAGTATCGTAGAAAGGATTACAAGATTATAGCGTATTACCCAAAAAGTGAAGATCGGATCGGACGTAATCCTTTTTTCGTTTCTTAATTTTTCCCCAATCATCTTATCTAATTGTACGTAGAGAGCAAAACGAAGCGAATTACATTGTTCGTGAATTTACAGGGAAATCGCGCGTGATTCTATCACGCGACGTTTCTCGATGTCACTCAGGCAACGTTCGAGAGAACGTTCGGAAAGAATACTCTGAAATACTGTCATACAACTTTGGTTTTTTCCGCTCTTGCACGCGCGCTACTAAGCTACAATTCCTCTTGGACTCTAGACCAGACTCGAACTCCACTGGCGCTGCATTGAAGTACGGAAGTACGGACGCGAACACCGAACGCGACCACCCATCCAGGGACGGTTCGTCCGGTTTAATAGTTCGCATTTCTACTACACACTGATAATGGTAGCGGTCGTCTTATGTCTTATAGTCAAACGTCGGTAGCATCCGACGCGGAGGCTTTTGCCAGCGCCGACCAGCTGTCGCAGTGTTGGCGGTTAGAGAGTGACGGAAAATTTGCGTCGGTGGCGGTTGGTAGCAGAGAAGCTCTATAGCCGGACGTGGTTTAGTCACGGTCCGTACGCGAACGGCGACAGTTCGTATCTTATTGAAATTTATTCACGTCGTTGCACTGCGACCGATCTAAAGAAGATTATCACTGATAAGAGTGAGTAATTAGACGACAATTTGGCCACAATTTTTGCATTCTTTCATCCACGACAAGTGATTATATGTTTAAATGTGTGTGCAATATCGAAATTTGGAATTTAAATATTGGACCATTTTTTTTCATTTCTCTCTATTCCTATATAAATATGAAATTATATAAAAATATCGATCCTATCATTTGTCCTGACAAAACTTGAATTTACTCGGTGCTTACTCTAATATTTCAGAGCTCTTAGCACTAAGTGTGGTCACATAATTTCCTTCTTTCTTTCGACAACAACTGATTATATTAATTTTAATGATCCTAAGAATGCAGACAGACTATAAAGAATTACGCGTAATGAAAATAACACAAAACAGTGCAATTTTGTTCCTTCGGCATAATTCATTCAGAGTTCATCTTATGTTTTCACATTCCACGATGAATATTCTAACAAAAGTTAAAAGTTAAAAGTATTAATAAGTAATAGAATACGTAAATCTAAAATATTAGAGAATTTTTTCTACTTTTTAACCCGTCTTTTAGTAATTAATATAGATATACATCGCACGCATAGATATATTGCCAAACGCTCATGTGCGCGTAGATAAGAATTATGTATTTTATGTAAAATTTAAATTTAGCTCTAATTAAAATTTAGTCTGTGACTAAATTTAACCTGTGACGCTTTTGTTTTCTATTTAAAAAGTTCTCACATTGGTGAGAAGTATCGAATACTTTTAATTAAATTATTAATAAAACACAAAGTAAAAAATTTGACTTGAAAATTTCACATAAGTGAAATTTTTCCAATTGTCAAAAAATAACTTTAAAAAGTACATCTAGAGAATTATATATCTTACGAAACACCTTACATATTCCAATAAATTCTTTGTTTTATGTTTTGTTCGCGAAAACGTAACATCGTTGTAATTATACATCAACTGACGTCGCAATCTGTGATGTCGTCGTAAATCTGATTACGCGGTTAGAAAGAGAAAAAAAATCTTATATCATGACCATTTTATGAAATCAGCTTGGATTTTTTGGTACTAGTGAAACTTTATAAATATTCCGTAAATCTTTGATGATATGATAACAAAAAGATTTTCTTCTCATGTTTATACGCAGAATTTTTCAATCACATTCCAATACATGCAGAGAGAACTTAATTGTAACCTAATTATTTAAAATTTGATAGTAGAACCGTCCAAAAATAAAGAAATAAGAAAAATGTTTAAAATTAAAACGACAAGTTAGTCCTTTTTTTCTAAAATAAAGAAATGTGTGGCACAAGAGAGAAAGAAATATCCTCTTCCATTTCCAAATAATCGCTTTTAAATTAATCCAATCACGTCTCGTACAATCGCAAGTTAATTGTTAGTAATACTTTTATCATCAGATAAAAGTTTGAAAAGACCTTTTAAGTCGGACCACTTTTCCGATCAGACTGGGATGTTCATACAAAGCGGTTCTGGTATCACGTTTACTAGATGCACATGTTACTAGATGCAACATGTTGGAATTCGGGATGCCGTCTCGACAAGTACGAAAATATTCGAGAAAACACATTCTAGAAAAAAAAATCAAAGAAACGAAATTTTTTTTGTACGCGGAAGGGAAACGCTTTTGCTGAAATGTCTAAAAATTTTTGGTTAAATCTAA